TCAGGAAGTAAGAACTGAGTGAATGTTTGTTTATATGGTAAAATGTATGCATTATTTTCAGGTTGACAGTATGGCGTTTATGAAGTTATGTCAGCACATTGGATATGTAGCATAAATGTATTAATCATTTTGTAATGCCATGTTACTATGCTTTAACAGAGCATATATCACAAAATTAATTGTTGTTACTGCTAACTTGTTTATGTATTATTGGTAATTATCCAGAATAGAACATCACACATAGAAAAAGGAAAATTACTGTGATGGGCATAAAGAACACAACACTATTATGTATGAAAAATAGTCTGCACAAAGTAAGGTAAGCACACAATCGCTCATTCAAGTCTGTAGATGTATTCATCAAGTAATGCCATGGCCTTTGCACTTCACTCTATAACAATGATTAACAAGCCTTCAAATGTATATTGTGGCAAGGTAGAGGTTCTTGGCATCCTTGGTGATTTATCAGTAGTTAAGGAACCAATCCATGCTCAGTCTTGTGAAGAACTATGTGGTGAAGGTTATAGTTGACCTTTCCTTTAGTATGTAGTGTAGAGGCCATGGCACAGTTTGATGGGATCCTATACTGGGTAATTAACCTAGTATTGCTATACTTTTAACTTGTTTTACTTTTTAAAAATCTATGCATTTCAATGGAATCTAGAGCATTTCAGTGGATTTCATACCAGCTATTCAGTGGTAAGCTTTGCTTCTCATTTCAACACTGGAGAGGTACAAATTTTGTAAATCAAAGGAAATTCCAAATTTCAAACCAAGTGTGGGCTTATACTTGGATTGCTTTAGACGAGATATAAATAAAATTCATTACTCTGCTTCAGATGACTAATAGTTAAGGCAATAGATTTATTGTCTGGGAATGACATTGATCTGAAGTAAAATGGGGGAAAAGGATGCCATTCAGAGGCACATGTCCATTAATCACTAATGGTGCTCATCACTTTCATAAATAAGTGAAGTTTGAAAGGGGATGGTTTAGATGCCACTGCAAGGTTTCTGTGTACATCTTAGGTATGTGAAAATAAGTTTGTGTCCAGAACATAGCATCATTGTTATTTTTTAACATAGTTATTGAAAAGTTTTACATTTTGTCATCTGTATTGTTATTCACAAATGCATTTCACTCTGTTCAAATGAGTACAATGGTATCACAGACCACTCAATATTGTTGTATTAGAGTTGGCTGAGGGATCAATTGCTAGGCAAGTGGAGTGTAGAATATTGATCAGCAGTAATTTCAGTAAAAGGTTATGGGAACAGGAACAGCTGGATGTCTCAGCTGGATAATTCATACCTGAAAAGAAAATGGCAGCTTTACTGATAATTTTGTCTGAATAATATACTGTAGCCTAGTCATGTTAGTGTCGACAAATCTTTTATCTTTGCGCATATATCTAAAGCTTTCATTCTCTGATTTATTTAGTTGCAGAATCTCTACAAGCATATGGTAACTGCATTTATTTTGTTATGGATTTAAATGTTTAGATAGGTAACATTATTCACATACGTGTTATGCAAATGATACACATTTTTCAGGACAGACCAACCAACTACTTTGGTGCTGAATAAGGAATGGCTAATGTGAATGATCAATCATGAATAGGATTTACTGTACCTCTGTTGATTTTTTTTGTGTGTATTCTTAAGAATGGTGTTTGTTATGAGTAGGTGAGTAAATTTATCATAAAGGCAATACATCTACAACATTAAATTCAGCTCTGTCAAAACTTTCCACCATTCAAACATTGAACACCATTAACTTGGATAGTCAAAGGGGGTACAGGAAATTCAGTTCTGCAACTGTACCTAGAAGATTGTATTCTTTTATTTATATGCTTCCTTATTGTCATGGTGTACTGTAGTTTGTACTGCAGATCTTTATCAGAATGTATGATTTATAAAGGAGGGCATTGTAGAATGACTTAGGCAAGGCTAAGGGAAGTGTGCATTAAAGATTTTCTCTGTACTTCAAGTAGATATCTTAAATTAATTAAAGTTGGTTTGAAGTGTGACCAGTTTAGAAAGGTAGGTGTTAGTAAATAGTAGAGAGGGAATATCTGTTAGTATATAGGAGAGAAGGAATATTTCGGAAGTAGTAAAGATAGACATCATAATATAATGCACAATAGTTCAGAACACAAATAGTTAACAGCAAATCATTGTCAATAGAAAGTATAGCACTGAGATATCATATTTGTATCAGATAACTTAAATTGCTTTTAATACTAGTTCACAGATGGTTTTGTTATATTTTATAAATAATTCTGTCAAGAGATGTTGTTTTCCTAAATACCTTTGTTTGATTAATGGACAAGATTAAGAGAAGCTGGACATAGAAGATAACAAAAGGTTAATTATGTAAAAAAAAAAAAAAAAAAAAAAAAAAAAAAAAAAAAAAAAAAAAAAAAACACTAATAGCCACTTGCACCCTCCCAATACCTTGCTCATTGTTGTCATGGGAGGGCTTAGGAGATGGAGACTGAGGCCCACTGTAGGGGATCACCCTAACCCCTATTCTGAGAATACCCTTCACTTTCAACAGTGCCTCCAAAAACAAGTAGGCAAGGTTACCTTTCCCAGTCTCTCCAAGCGTTTACTCTGTTACAGTTACTTCTGAATCCCAAGTTTTTGCACTATCTACCTTAATTGACCTCACTAGCAAACCCATTCCTGTCGAACCTTACCCCTCTCTTAATACTTGTACTGGAACTGTTTCTATCCCCTCAAATGCTTGTTCTATCTACAAGGACTGGTCAGACAGTGAAAATTACCTACTTACCTACCTTGCTGATTATGATGCAGTGGCAGTACAGTGTTACACTATTTCTCCTAGAGGTCAGCCTATGTCCCATGTCAATATTGGCAAGATTAGCTTCCTTAGACATGACCCCCCATGAAGTTTATATTGGTGGATTGTCCTACTATGTCCAACCATATCGACCCCTTCCTTGTCAATGTCAGAAATGTTGGTTTTATCCACATAGCCAAACACTTGCTCCACAGCCCACTGCCCTCAGTGTGCCTAACCTGGTCATGACTGTTCAAATTGCCCTGCTTAGCCACGTACATGTGCCAATTGTGGAGACTCCCATAATATATTTTATAGGAGCTGCCCTGCCTATAAGCTCGAATGTGAGGTAGCAGTCCTCAGATTCAAACTAGGCCTTACTCTACATGAGGCCAGACAAGAAGCATGATGAAGAGGTTTTTGTCTCTTAACTTATTCCAAAACAGTCCTTCGCTCTGCTCCCCCACTATCCTCACAAGATATTTCTGCATCTCCCCCAGTATCTCTTCCCTATACCCTGAACCATCCTATGTCTACTCACCTTATCCCCCAGTCAAATTCATTTTCCAGTGTAAATCCAGATGCTCCAATCTCTACCACTTTCCTACACCTTCTCTTCACTTGTTTTGTCGCACCAGGCAACCTAAACATTCCACTCCACCCTCTCCTACACCTTCCTCTTCTTCTGCTCCTCAGATATCCATCTCCTCTTCTCTTCATAAGAGAACCTTTGCTTCTCAGTGCTCTTCACCCAACTCCCCTCCAGAAACCCTTGAAGACATCCAAAACTTCTAAGGCACACATTGCTCCCTCATCCAACCCCAATCCTTCTGTTCCTACTTCTACATCAAAAGTATTTACAGATATCCATCCTCCTCATCCTCCTCCTCCTCCTCAAGTTCCCTCCACCCCCTTTCCTCCTACACCCTCCCAACATATCCCACACTCTACCACTCCCACTTGAATACTCGCACAAATCTCTCATCACAGCAGTGTCCTTCTCCAGACTCCTCCCCTCGACATTCTTCCTGATATTTCACCACCTTCCCCAATCCCCCACTCTCATCCCCTGGATTCTTCTCCTACTTCTCCAACAGCCACCTTTGTTTCCCTTAAACAATGTCCCTATTCCTTCCCCAGTCACAGATACACTGCAGTTCACTCAATCACTCTACCCCCTTAACCTTCCCATTTTAACTAATCCCTGTTCTACTTCATTTACTTCCCTCTTTTCCCTTTTAGTAACCATACTTTCCTGTATCAGTCTGTAATCTTTGACATCAATTACTCCCCACTTTCCCTTTTCACTACCATACTATCCTATACTTTACTCTTTGACAGCTAATTCATTTTATCCTAATTTTTATCTCCTCTTTACTCTTTGACACAATACTTTACCTTAGTACTATATGACCTTTGATGTCTAGCACATATATTTGTTTCTAACATTAACATTGGTCACTTGATATTGTTGCATAATAAAGGGCAGTAGTGTTTTCTGAAAATCAACAAATTATTACATTAAATTGTGCAGGAAACTTGAAAATTGTTGATAATAAATAATACTTGAAGATTGCAGAGGTTTATAGAAAAAAAAATCATGGCTTGCCAGAATGTTTTGATTATTTTCTGTCTTTAAAGACTTGTTTTTAATAAATACACATTTTAAAGAAATGAAATACATCATATGCTGTGTCCTTATTTTTTTCTTTTTACATATATTACAGTAATTTAGTATCCAAAACAGATGTTATGGCAAATCTCATTGCTTATGCACATGTGATAAGTGTAAATTGAACTGACTAAATGAAGTTCATTAACTACAAGTGCTTCAGAAAATCAATTTCTTTGAATGTTAAAAGGATGGTGGTTTTATGCTTTTTCCACAAGATCCTAGAAATTGGCTGCAACTGTCAATGGATAAAATTTAAAATGTAACTTCTTTTTTGTCCTACAATGTTTGTAAGACAATTTCTTTCATCTAATTACCAAAATTTAACATTCATGCTGACTGTCAACATACGCAAAAGTAGATATGAATTATACATGTATACACATGCTTATGAGACTCGTTAGGAAAGCAGCTATAACATGCACCACAAAAAAGATGTAACTGTATCAAAAAAAGTCATTTCCTTTATTTTTACAGAGTACAAACATGGTGATAAAATCATAATTAAAAACAAAATAATAAACAATGTTGATAATAATAATAAAAAAGATGCTAACAACAAGTTTTGCTAACACAAGGAACTCTTCCATCACCAAAATTACCTACAGTATTTATAATAATATTCCTGTTCATCAAAGTCAGTCACACTAATAAAGCAAATATCAAAAAAGTATCACACACAAAAAATACAATTACGACTATGCCATATTCCAAAAATGAAAAGTATAGATAAACCTAGTATAAATGTATTTCAGTGCAAACAAACACTTTATACAGGACATATTTATTCCAATAACAATAACATCACAGGCCTTGGGGCTGGAAAAAGAAATATTTGGCATTGTAACTTGTAAAAGGAGAATTGAATTACACTTTTAAAATATCCAATTAATCTACAAATTTCCATTTAAAAAAAAGAAAGAAAAGAGGAAGAAAATAGAGCATAGCACATCAGGTCTCTTTCATTGACTAGGGTACCAGATACTTGTATGTATGACATGATGGAAAGAAAAACGAATGGAACCCTACAAGTATAGATGGGAAAGACTTGATGAGTTATGCATATATACAGTGTGTGCATAAACTGCCAGACTCATGTGCAAGTGAATTTGTTCATATATGTTAGCAGTATTTATATGCAGGCTTAACAGTATTTACATGTAACATGTCTTTGTATATGTATAAATGTGTGTAACACTATGGCTCCTATGACAAAGTCATCAGTAGTGATCCTTATTGCTTGAAGTGACTGAACTCTAGAACCTTGAATCAACTTGCTGTCTAATATCATCCCACTCTAAAATTTTCCTTCTTTTTTAAAGGGCAAAATCAAATCAGTGTATATCAACTTGCATTAAGGGACACTCACATTCACTGGCAGTTATTCAAGAGTTGTAATAGTATTACAAGAGAGGCATCTGGGTCTGTCTGTAAATACTCATCCCTAATTTACCCACAAACATTCATTACACTAAATCTATATCCATACAGACATGTAATCTGAGCCATGTATAGACACTTTGGTAGGATTTTGACCTGGCAAGTATAAAAGTACAAGATGCTCCTAAGATAATTCTGACAGAGCTCCATGTTTAAGAGAGGCTGTATGAGACATAAAACTCTTATAAAGAGTTCATGAATTTGTCTGCACACCAGAGATAATTCACTTGCTTAGGAGAAATGGGCATTATTGAATAAAACTTTGTATAGCACCACTTTTTTATCTGAAGAATATTAAGAGTGTGAGTACAATAATAATTGTATTACTGACTTTCAGTGGACATTTTCTAATCTGTGGGAAGAAAAAAAATTAAAAACTTTACACTGACAAAAAGGAGAGAAAAAAGAAAAAGGTAACTTTATAATATGTAAATTCCACTGCTTTTCTAAAACATGTAAAAAAAAATATAACTAAATATTAATATTCCCATTAACAAAAATCCAAAATTTATTTGGCTGTATTGAAATAACTTAATAACCAAATTTACATGGTAATGGCTTTTTACCCATTTATAAGAATTAACTAAACCCATAAAAATGTTCTTATACATAAATGTGTATAGATTATATCAATCTCTATGAACTAATGACAAAAGTGATATGAAATGAATGGTCTCAAAAGTTCTATCTCTACATCTACAGGCATCCATGCATACAAGAAAAATAGACACTGTAATTTCTAATTCAAGAAATGCTAAACCTCCCTAATTTAGGGTATGACAAACAAGTACTTCTTCAGATCTATAAATTCTGAAAGACATTTTCTTTTAATAATCCTTTAACATTTATCTTTTGTTTAAGATTTCAACATTTTATTTTGTAATTTCCAATATAAAGTCACTTAATTTTCACAAGACAGAAGGAACATTTTTTTCAATAAATATTTTTGTAAATTTCATCAAACCGAACATTTTTAGGTTCCAAAGTATATATATAAAAAAATCCCTGTAGTTCAGTTTAAAATACACCTAGAATTATGATACGAGAGTCCATAATATTTTTTTTCCAAAAACAGCACTGCAGTTCAATTTAAAGTACACCTAAAATTATGGTAAGAGAGCCCACAATACTGTCTTCCATTTTTGTAAGTCAAACAAAGATATTTCTCAACAGTATGATATTAATAGAATGATTTTACTCAGTGTAAAATATAATGAGGATACTCACTACCACGATCTCCAGCACCTTGTCATACAAACATCATCATTTTATCCTATCTAAAGTTGTATAAATTATCCTATGTTTAACACTGTATCAAAATATAACAACTCTCTAAGGAGAAGTAAAAATAACCACCTAGGAGTCTAATGTCACTCAGTATTGTCCTCCTCCCCTTCTTCCGCATTCTGGTCTAGACTAACTTCCTCTCTGTCGTCCCCTGGTAAGGAATTTCTCTTTGTGCTATTTGTTTTTATGAGATTATTTTTACTGCTTGGTTTACACTCGAGTTCTGCCTCATCCAGTTCCTCTTCCTGTGCATTCTCAGACTGTTCTTCATTGTGGTCATCATCTGTCGGTTTCTCTGCTTCCTCCTTCTTCTTACGAATCTTTTCTGCCAGAAATTTAAAGCGCAACATACATTCCTCCTGTGGGCCAAAAAACAACATTAAGACTGGGATCAAAGAAGTTGAAGAGATGTAACTTTTTATTTGACTCTGTTTTCAACCCATCCTCTACTTCTTAGTTATCCTCATTTTATCATTCATTTTCAATTCTAATTAAAGAGCATGGTATTATTAGTTTTTTTGTACTCAATAACCTTACATGCCCAACTTATTTCAAAGCAAGCAAGTGGTTGAAGCAAGAAACCAACATTATTTTCAAAGTATTACTGAAAAGATGTGTGTAGAATCAGAACTCAAAACTGCATTGTGCATCAGAATCAGCCAGGAAACAAGAACTCAAATGAATAAATAGAAAGCTATGATATTGCTGCCATTACCTTGGTCTTCTCAGGTACAGCTTTTGCAATTCTATCCCATCTCTGATCCGTGCCCTTTGGAAACTGTTTGAGTGCCTTCTCGAGAGCTTTCTGTTGAATTGTGTTCCAAGCCTCATCGCTGCCAGCCGCTAAGTCTGTTTTTTCAGCCCGTGTTTTAACTTTTACCTGGTAACAAGAGTAGAGAAATCATAACATATTTACAAGTGATAACAACTGGCTTATAAATATGGAAATAAGCATTATAAATACTAATATAACACGCAAATAAAGATCCCTGATATCACAGATACAGATGACAATGTTAATACCTGCATAAACATCAGTATCAATTCAATTAATGCTAATAATTTTGAAACATAATACCCAGTACATTTTTCAAAATAACACTTTATTCCCAAACCATATCAATTCTATGACCCTACCTTAACCTCGTTCATAGATTCTTCATATTTCATATCTGAGAATCGCTGTGCAAGTCGTGCTTTCACCTTCTCAGACATCTTAGTCACCTCATAAACAGTGCGTCCCATTGTTTCTGCAATGCGCTCCCATCTGTCTACAGTCCCACCAGGATATCTTTGAAAAAGAGAATAGTAGAATTAGATAAACTTGTCCCTACTACTTTGATGCTGATGTTATGAATAATAATTGCTTGTGTAGTAAGAAGCAAGAAGATGATGAAGAAAGTAGAATCAAGAAAAATGAATCAAGAAAAAGAAGAATTCGCAATTCAGATGTGAATGATGAACAATTTCCAGAAACAAAAAAATTAAAGCAACAAAAACACCACAAACTAACACATGCCAATGAAATGAAATTAAAAAACAACCAATTAATGCAACAATGACAATAACATGGCACATAAACTTAAAGTCAAACATAAACCGAGTGGTTTATTCTCAAAAATACTTTTCCAATGAGAGCAACGACAACCAGTGGTCATTATAACACTTTCAAAACATGTTTTTTTCACTTTTTTTTTTTTTTTTTTTTTTTTTTTTTAGTTAAATGTTTAATCACAGCAGTGGGTGTGGTTACTCAGAAAGCACATGTTCCCCTTTGCTCCTTTTTCTTCTTTGAACATATATATATATATATATAATATATATAACATATATATATATAAATTCTCTAATGCCAAGAAAGAAACAGTAATATGACAATCAAGTCACTGCAGCAAAGAAAGTGCGGCAAAATGACCTTCCTTCACAAATAGACTGAGTGAAAGAGGAAAATGGAGTCAGAGGAATGAACAATTTCAAAAAAAAGTACAAAAACAACAAAAAGAAGGTACATACACTTGAAGTTGAACAAAAACTGAGTGTCATTTGATATTCAAAAGTTTAGTTATTATCAGTCATATAAAAATCATACAACCCTTGAATGTCAGCAAAAGGACAAGAAAAAAATAGGCCTAATTCATAATTGCCCAATCTCATGATTACATTAGGTATCATTTATCTTTTTTTTTAGTTGAAATTCAAGAACCAACCCCTGTGAGTTTAACTGAAATGAAAAACCCAGCCATTATAAATTCAAAGTGGAAAGTTCCTCTTCCTAATTCAGAAAACAATTGTCAGATTTGTTTGGTACCAAACTCCCTCTCTTACAGAAATCTCTATGTGAAACATGGCAGAGTAACAAGTGGTAAATCCCCTTATGGGCCAGATGATTAACAATACATTGGAAAAATGAAAATAACTTAAGGATTACAAACATGAATAACAATCCTTTATCAATGTGGACTGATACAGTTTGGCTACATGCTTTTATGAAGAGATATGGTTAGTGAACTTTTTAGCGCCTTTTGGGCTTTCATATAACACATGCACATGCTTCACTTTACCTCAAAATCTCATCATTTTTTTTGTTAATAAAAAAACATAATCTTTAATGTTCAATAATCTAAACAAATATATATGCTAGCCATCAAAGCTCATATATAGCACTATGGTCAAGTATTATGATGAAAGGGGCAAAATTTCTTGTTTCAATAGCCATATGGTACTGTAAGATCGTATGGTGTAGAAGGAGGGGTAGTAAATGGAGTAGGATAGGTGTTGATAGGAAGGGAAGGGTTAAGGATAGACAGTGATTAGATCAAATGGAGGATATTTATGCATCTGAGGAATGAGATCAAGTTGTCAAAGGAAAAGGTATGGGATTCTGAGAGTATGTATGATAGGTTAGGGGGTCAGGGGAGTGAGAATAAGTGAGGAAAGGCAGAGATGCAGGGACACAGGAGTAGGATGTGTGGGACTGAAAGAGGAACATTGCGTGAGGAGCATATACATGGATATAGATTGTAACATGAGATAGGGATGTCCAAGGCAAGAATAGTTTCCCAGTATCTATTCTTATGGGATGCTATTGACCATGGAGAGATGAAGGTTTAATACTGTGTAGTTTATTAGTGGTAAGGTTAAGCTAGAGATTCTGCCAGTAAGTGAAGAGGAAGGTTTTGAGGTGAAGGTAGTAATCAGAGGTTGGTATATGTGAAAATCTGGTTTGATGGGATGTGGACAAGGTGGTGGAGTGTGCTAATGTGACTGCCTATTCATTGCTGGGGATCCCAATGTGGTATCCAGTAAAAACTGACTATTTTGCATTGTATGGCCTGTATGTAATAGTTGGTTCTGAATTCTGCAGACAACAGGGTTGATTGGCTATAGAGACTATATAAAAGATATTTTTTTAGAGTTCATGAAAATTGTTAACAATGAGGAAGGAAGGGTAGACATGCACTCTAAAGCAATGAAGATCACATATAATTCTGTTGTAAGGATGCTGGATTCAGGTGGAAGTGGAAAGTTGAAAGTATGGGAAGGAAAGATTACAGGAAAACCAGTGCCAGCGAGGGATTTGGAACCATCTGTATATAAGTGAGTGCTGGAGGGGTGGTCGAGAAAATCAAGACATAAGGATAGAAGTGGAGGTTGTCTGGTTTTGGTGTATCAGGAAAAACATAGGAGCAGATATGGAAAGAAGGTATAAGCCAAGGTAGATATTTATGGGTAGAAAAAGGTAAAGATCAAAGGTGAGGAAAGGGTGAATAGGAGAGGAGTGGATCCACCCAGAAAGAGAGAGGACATAAAGGTAGGAATAGACTGAGAGGCAGTTATTCTATAGAGAGAAAATTGATCAAAACGTGCACATCTCCGGAGAGAGAGAAGAGCACATCTTCGGGAGAGAGAAGGCAGGCCCGAGTCAATGTATAAGCTCTCAACAAGAGAGGAAAGGAAGGTGCTTAGTATCAAGGTGAGTAAGAAGAGAAGTAGAGGTAGAGGAATAGATATGACAGCCATAGTCAAGAATGGAAAGGATTAGCAAAGAATGATGGAGGAGGGTTTTGCTGCCTGAACCCCAGGATATATGAGAGAGAGGGTTTTCTCTTTGATGTAGGAGGATGAGTTACCTGGATAGATGATTCAAGATGGGTTAAGTTGGCAGTAAGTGTCGACAATGGGGGTGCAGTAGTACTGGTTGGAGCCATGATCAAAGGAGAGCCAGGGGTTAGTAAACCAGAAGAGTCATGGAGGTTATTGATAAAGGGGCAAGCCTCAATGCCTCTACTAAGGGTAGAAAATCTTCCTTACTGGCTATGATAAGCCTGAAAAACGTGAGGAAGATGAAAGGTCCACCTCTAAGAGTTCCCGTGAGGGGTAAGGGCTACACAATAAACAAAGGGAATACAAAGCCCATCACTCCCCATGGCCATTCATGACAGGCACAAAGTCAGCCTTTCATCCTTCAACACGGCTCTCACACCTTAGGATTTGAAGAAAACAAAGACAAAGAAAGAAAGAGAAGAAAAGACCGTGCAAAATTAGTTAAGCCAAGGTAGGGGTGATCCTTTACACTAGGCCTCAGTCTCCATCTCCGAAGCCCCCCACCTACAACAACGGACAAGGGATTTGGGGGTGGGCAAATCATGATATCATTATGCCTAGGTATTGGAAAGATTGAATATCATGTCATATCATTACCTGGTAAAAAGGAATAGGAAAGATTGAATACCAGGGGGAAAGGTCATCAGCAATGTAACAGTAATAAGAACTTGACAGGAAGCAGCAGCAACATGGCAGTCAGCAAATATTGAGAGTACAGTTCAGTCATAGTAATCCAGCTGCTGATTTGATATGCTAACAGAAAACACATAAGGAAAATAATAAGCTCATCATTAGCAACAAAGGGAAAATGTTGGAAAATAATGGGAGGGCAGCAGGCACCTCATTTCTAACTCTGCACATCTTTAAAGCCAAACACCTCAAAATATTATTTATGAACATTCTTGAGAACACCTTTAGCCTCTATGCAATGCAAATGCTACAGTATTTCCCCTTTTTAAGATGTATATACAGCATTTCTGTGGTAAAGAAAGCTTATTCCCTATATCATATCTGATCCTTTCCATACCAATAACTAAAATTGTGTTTTTACAAGTTTCTACTGAATTTTACTTAAAATGACATTCTCATTGTCTGCATTCATTCCCCTCCAAGCTCTCATTGCAATTCATATTTTGATGATGTAAAAGACAAAAAATTATAATGTCTATAAAAACTAACACAATCCCAAGTAGAGTGAAAAACACATTTCCGATACATACTTGGCCATGAGTCGCGCAAGTTCAGAGAATTCCTCGTCTGTCCAGGGGCCTCCTGTGATTACAGGAATGGAGGACGGTTCTGGTCTGGGCTTTCTGACAACCTGTGTGTATGAAGTTCTAGTTATAAGTGTCCTTTACATAAAGTCTTCACAAAGTACAGTGAATCTGAAAATGTGCTGGAAACTCAAACTGAAATAAGATTGAGAAGCAAATATGAATTCTATTTGGTGGGATACTCATGCTGTCAAATGTTTTCTTCAGTTTCAGATGTATGTGTATAAGACCTGTTTTATGTAGTTGCAAAAACACGTCTATATGTATATATGTATGTATATGTATATGTATGTGTATAATATATATATATATATATATATACATATATCTATAGGTATAATATATATATAATATAATAATATATACATATATCTATATATATATATATATAATATACATAATATATATATATATATATATATATATATATATATATATATATAATATATATATATATATATATATATATATATATATATATATATATATATATATATATATATATATATATATATATATATATATATATATAACAATGTTTGTTAACAAATATATTACTACTCTTATTCATATTAAAAAAGAACTTCTAATGGACAGGTTAATCTTATAAACAGCAAAGAACAGAATAAAAATAAAAATAAGGGGATATCCCATGTACTTAGAAAGCATGAAAAGAGAAAGAGGATATTGCACAAAAAAATAACAGAAACACGGCGACCTATTTTGGGTCTGAACATGAAACAGGAGCAGTACAGAAACTCTTAGAATTAAGCCACTTATAGGGCATAGTCTGCTTACCCTATCTTCGGAATCAGGACCATCCACTGCCTCCAGGATGCACTCGCCGCCAGAGTATTCGGGATACTGATTCACCCTCTTACGCGCCTCCTTTCTGCTTGCTTTCTTCTCTTTACGTTTTTCTTCCTTTTTTTCAAATGTAACAATAACAGTCACAATAATAATAATTATAATTAATGATAATATGAATAATAATGATAGTCAACTCAAAACAATAATAAAAAATATGATAGTAATAGTAATAATAATATTAATAGTAACAATAATATTAAAGAGAATGATAATGAATAACAATGAAAGTAATGATGATAATAATAACAAAAGTAATAATAATACCACTGATAGCAATAACAGTATTAGACTAATAATGATGATAATAATAAGAACAATAATAATAATAAAAATATTAATTACAACAACAGCAATAATAATACCAAAATCATCATAAAAATATCAATAACAATCAAAATAATATGTTTCCCATTCCAGTTGTGTTTAGTATTACACACAACTTTTCATTGGAATACATTTAATATCCAAAATCAGTATAATTACATAGTTAAAGTAACCAAAGCGATTACCCGCATCAAACATCTTTCAAGAATCAATGAAACTTCTGCCATTAAACAGAAACAAGGAAAATAATAGACTAAAATTAATAGGGACAAAAATTTTATCCAGAAGAAAGAAACAAAGGAAGGAAGGAAGGAAGGAAGGAAGGAAGGAAGGAAGGAAGGAAGGAAGGAAAGAAGGAGTAAGTAAGGAAAGGAAAGGAAAGAGGCAAGAATGAATGGAGGAAGGAAAGGAAGGACCAGACATGCAAAAAAAAGGTATAAGAAATAAAAAATTAAGTAAAATAAAGAGTAAAAAAAAAAAAAAAAAAAAAAAAAAAAAAAAAAATGGAGTAAAGAAAAAACAGAAAATAAAACAAAAAAAAGAAAAGAAGAGAAGAGAGAATAAAGTAAAACAAAAGAAGAAAAAAAAGGAAAATAGAAAAGAATAGAAAATCAAATAATACAAAACAAAAGAAGAATAAACAAAGGAAAAGAAAAAAAGGAAAAAGAAATAAAATAAAATAAAAGATCATAAAAAATAAAGAAAAGAAAAAAGAAAAAACAAAACATTCTACCTACTTCTTCTCTGAGTCTTTTCTCTTCCAACTCATGTTCTTCCTTCTCCTTCAACTTTCTCTCCTTCTCTCTCTGGATCCCGGCTAGTATCTCTCGCACAATGCCTGGTCCTCCAGTTACCAGGAAAATGACCAGTTTGACCAGCTGAATGGGTAAAATGTTCCACCAGCTGTTGACAGATTGTTTAGTTTTAGAGAGAAAGAAAAAATCTGGTCTTATTCTACCCTCAGAGGCTTTTGAATCCTGGATCAACCAACTTTTGCTCTTTTGTGTTACCAGCTTCCGACTCAGAAATACAATCACCATATTTTCACCACCCATTTCCTTAATAAGGTATGTTATGTAAGGAATTTAATGTTCAACATTCATCAGTACTCATAACCATCTTCAAAAATTCAACCATGTTATTACTACAAACGTGATAGTGAATTAAATGTGATCACCTTGGTTTTGGGATGAGACTCAGCTCTTCCTCCATCTTTGATATATTCTGCAAATCCTCGCCCTTCCTTTTTTTCCTGTCTTTGATCTTGTACTTTCGAATGAGGAACTCTTCCTGCAAATATTAAGAAACTGGTTAAATATCCAAATGGAAATATAATGATACAAGAGTCGACATTCATAGCTACATTTACAATATACACTTATCTAATAAATGAATGCATTTAAGTATATCTAAGCTACTGAACATCTACTATAAACCATAATTCTACATCTACAGTATTTTCACTTCCAGACTATATCAATATTCACACTGGATCAATGAAGCAATCCTTATAAAAATATCTACTCACCAGACTATGTTTCTTATCAATATAAGAACCCCAGGCCATAAGATACTGCGTTATGGATATAACGACCGTCAGGATGATTGAAATTTCCAGCAGTGACATTTTGCGAGCACGGCGGTAATAGTATATAGGAGAGCGCCAGTCAGGCAGACCCTCTACTAAGACTTTTTCATAACGAGCCCTTCGCCCTTCATCCCGAAGGACATCATATATAGCAACAAGCTGAAAATGACAGATCAAAAGGCATTATGTAATTAAAAGGTTATCACTCAAGAAAATTTGTCAATACTAACCTTATACAAATGTAACAACGTATCAATCTTATACAAATACAACAATGAATCAACCTTATATAAATGTACTTTTCAAAATGTACTTTTCATTTATGTAATCATAATAATCACAGGTTAAGTATATCATTTGAATATCATCTGCAGTATGACCATTCTATCAAAGGGAGTCAGTTCTGATGGATGTGCCTATTAAAAGCCTCCAAGTGGTTCACTATACTAAAAAAAACACATAATATTCTTTTGATCTTTGACATTTCCAACCAGTGTCCCTACTCTCTTGAACTTCTTACTTTTGAAGGGAATAGAAGAACCATATTTTCACAATGAAGAAGAAAGAAGTAGAAGGATAAAAAGGAAAAGAAAATGAAAAAGAAGAGGAATAATGTGAAATAAAGTGAAGAGAAGGGTCGTCATTAGTTGCTGCTATATTTAGAGAGGGGAGCCTAGTATCTACACCATGTCTTACAGCCATTTTGTTTCTTATAACTCCCTGAACACTAGGCCATTTCTAATACCACATTAAATCAAGTTCAAACACTCCCTACATAATCACAACATTTAATATATACAGGCTTAATAATATTTAAAACAAAACAGATGTAAAATTAAAGGCCTCTAACAATAGAAATACAAATCTCCTCACCTTACATGATAATCAAAATACATATAATAGGTCATTTGTGATGTATATTATATAATGAAAGGATTTATTATACTTTTAAATCTTATTTTGCATTTTTTTTCATAAGGTTCATCATAAATCATTGCTATATAAAACTGAAGCCAACAAAAAATGATTCAAGTGGCAGTAGTGGTAAATAAAATGTGGAAAAATCTACATAAAGTAGGAAGTTCCTAAACTTTCAGTGAGAAATAAAAAGAATATAAAAATAGAAAACTGCATCTCTCACCTGCCTAAATTTAACATCGGCATCTGGTGCATCATTCTTATCTGGATGAAGCTGAAGGGACAGTCGACGGTAAGCCTTTTTAACCTCTGACGTTGTTGCATCCTGTTGGTAAAAACAAAGAAAATCAAACATATAATACTAGATTGGTGTCATAATTGAAGTCTGGTTTTGGAAGCACAACTTACCAGTATATCCAACAGTATCTAACATATCAAAAATCAATTTCATTTCTATTTCTTCGATGAGAAAAGTCTTCCAAGACCATTAAATCTTATAACTATCTAAACACTTGTCCTGGCAGGCCTACTCAAGAAGACTTGAAAGTATGAATGAGAGAAATTCATATCAATCTTTATTTATATCAGAATTTAGTCACACTTTCCTGACCTTGCAAATTCTAAAAATACAACTGAGATTCAAGTTATTTGTTACTTAGAATGGCACATCTTCCACATATGAAGTCCCAAAACCAGGGTATCATGTGAACCCAAATCTAACCTTTCCTACCTTCTATCATCTATAAGTTTCTATAAGTTGGCACTTTGTGCCAACTTATAAAAACTTATAGTGAGGCCACTGTAGCTGTACCAGTCTTGTTTATGACTATTTCTTAAGTTGGCCTTGGTAACTTTAACTAGATTGAGAAAAACTAAAGTAGCTATTGAAAACAAGCAAGCAAAATTATTTGGTACATACTAGGGGTCTTCAAAAAGTTTTTGGAAAAAGTCCATAACTAAAAATTGTTTGGAAAGATTTTGATTTCAATGCACCTGAACATTCTTGTACCAACATGTTATAAGATGTTCAAACATGAACCCTTAAATGCAGGTAAGAACGCATTGCCGCCAGTTGAAATTCAGGCCCCATTCAAGCAACATGGAATCCACTAAAATTGAGACCAGAACAAACATGAAGCTCATGGCAAAACTAGGTTGGCAGAATAGGCAAATCATTGATGCTCTGAAGCAAATTTCTGGTGATAATGCCCCAAAGA